GAGTTGGTCATTTTTTTTTTATTATTCTGGTACAAGTGTTCGTCATTCTTGAATGGTGAAATAAATTTTTTGTGATTTGGTTTCAATACACTTGTATCTGGTAATTTCAGAGTCTGTGTATTAATTCTCCCTCCCTTTATTGTTTGGACATTACCTTCCGATGTGCTGCCATGTATATGGCCAGGAAAACAGAAGCCATATCCCTACTTACCGTAATTTTCTTTTTCTTGGTCGTAGGTCATAGTAGCACAAAGATCCCGCTCAGGGATATAGTTGGAAACAAAACTTTTTTTTTTTTTTAATTAGGTTGTTGTCTCATTAGGGATAGGGAGGAGCTACTCATTGTTGTGCTGCCATGGCCTATGACCAGGAAAAGAAAATTACTGTAAGTACTAATACATTTTCTGTAAACCAAGTTATGTGTAAGTGTGGATTGATTGGAGAGAGAGGAGGAAAAATACAAACTCAAGGCAATATGTAACCTAAAAGGCAGCGATCCTCGGTAGACTAACCTTAAACCTACTACAAATAATTATCAAATTTAAAAATTTTTTTTTTTTAAATATATACTTGAGGTTGTACAATAGAGGAGAAAAAGGAAAGAAAAACACAGGGAAATAATAGTGGAATACATGTTCTGTTATGTATAGTGCTAAAGATAGCATTTAAAGCTTGCCGTTTTATACTTTGTTCTTTAAAATGCCACGTTTGTAAAGATTTTAATTGTTTTTAGATCTTATTTCATAGTTTTACTTTATTTTTTAGATTTCAGCTCTGGGATTAACGCTTGGTGACAAGGCAGATGGACCTTTTCAACTGGAAATAGATTTTATTGGATTGTGTAATGATCGTGCGCACGACGAAGAGTTTGCCTATGAAAAATACAAGAGAAATCCACAATAGTATATATTTATTTTAAAAAAGAAAAACCTGTTTTTGCAGATTGTATCCCATCTCGATATGCCATGTGTCTGTGGTTTTAAAGATAGTTACATAGATTTCTTTTGTTTTGGATCAATTCTGTCACATCCCATGATATAACTTCCAACCAGTGCAGAGCATTTGAAAGGTAAAACATCAATACTATCTCTAGATATATTAAAGTATGTGTTCGATCATTTATAAAACGATAAAGTATTTATATATTTCCAAATACTTTCTTCTCGTCTGCTATTGTGTCATTTTCTGAATACAGGTACTCCTCACTTACTGACCAGGTTCCATTCCTACGACCTGCTTGAAGAACTAATTGGTCGGTAAGTGAGGAATTAAGGGATTCCCTGCTCTGGTGCGATTGTCTATGTTCGGGCAAATTTCCTCAAACATAGATTTAAGGTATTCCCTGCTATGGTGCGCATGTCTGTGTTCAGGGACATTTCCCCAAATATAGACGAACGCACAAGAGATATTTCCCCGAACATAGATTAGAGGGATTCCCTGCTCTGTTGCATTTGTCTATGTTTGGGGAAATGTCCCCGAACATAGATGAATGCAGCAAATCAAGGAATCCCTCTAATTACCAGCTCTCTCGTAGGGTGGTAAGTGCAAGCCATCCTAAAACAGCTAGGTTGCAAAACGAGGACCACCTGTAATACCTAAACTGTGAAATCAGTTGCTAACACAAAGAGATTAAAGGTATGTTCTGATTTAAACAGCACTACCATACGATGACGGATAGGAGCACTTAGAAGTTCAGCTCTCTTTGACAGAACGAGTAGGAGAAGAGCAGTGGTGCAAACTTCTAAAAGTGTGCAGTCAGAGTGACACAGTGAAAACAAGTGTATTCCACGGCAGTCTTCCATTGGTGAATAATCCACTGTTACAACTGCACCACTTTTAAGATCAAAACAAATTTCTCCTAAAATGTTTGAATTTTCTTTGGTAGATTAAGTCTCCCCAAAATATACGCAGTCTTCCTATGTTATGAGCCACTCAGGCAACCAATGGAGCATCGGACATTTTTACTGTAATTCAGAAATTGCTTCTCTGTGACAGTCACATGCCCACTATGCCTGTCCATGAGCTGTTGCCTGTTCTTAGTATTCTCTTGCACTGTTTTTTTTCTTTTCTTCTTCTTTCAAAGGTAAAAGGGTAATCCAGATGTGGCCCTTTTCTCACTGTGCCTAGAGAGAGAGTATTAGCTATACCTCACTGCTGAGGCCTAACAAAACTGAAACGATCATCTGGGGTTGTATTTCTTGCGGAGGTCGCTGACCTGCATTTTGGATTTGTATCGCCCTTGTGGGTGGAATTATTTTGATATGCAAATTATTTAGGTTCTCTTATTGGAACAAATAGTGCAACATTTCGACGTACACAGAAGCCTTTATAAAGCGTAAAAACTCCATGATCGCATCAGGGCTCAGACTTTCCACTCACCCCTCATGAGTGTGATTATAGACCAGCGGTCCCCAAACTGTGTGCCGCAACGTCCTGGGAGATATTTTTCTGGTGCTATGACCACAGTACCGGGAACTGGGCTTCTCTCCTGTATGGCTGTGCAAGACCGGAGGAAAGATCAGAGATCTCCATCTCTGGCCTGCTAGCAGTGTAATGCTGCAGCGGGCAAGGTAGGGTGGGAGAGAAGACCTAAGGGAGCTGCTAGAGTTCACTCTCACCCCCAGGGATTAGTACTGTCCCCACCCCTCCGAGTCAAAGGTGTGCAGAAAGGGGGGATATGAAAAAATTATATTTATGAATGAGACAACTCTCCCCCCCCCAACCCCCATAAACACACTGTACCCTCACACACAAATTGCCCCACATATACACACTACATCCTTAACAAACACAATGCACTCCTGTACACTCACTGCACATATCCCAGGTAAGTTGTTAAACTGTTCTTAAACAGTTTAACTACTTACTCTGTGAGGGCACTATGGTCACCATAACCACTACAGAGTGCTGTAGTGGTTATTGTGCCTGTATTGTTTCTTTAAATCTACCAGTGCCCTTTCCAAGATTGGGTTCTGGATCTGCACTTTAACAGCAAGTTTTTCTTGCTGTACATATAAACAACCTAGAAAATTATTTTTACTTATACTTCATTGTGATTGCTTGCTAAAACATTGGTGTACTGCAGTAACTGTATTTATTAGGAATTTATTTTTTTGGTGTAGAGATTTGACATGACAGTCTGCCTCTGAGGCTCGTGCTATGCACCTTTGGAACATATCTCATTTTTACTACAGCAACTGCACATTTATTCCTTTGTATGCAGGGAGATCAATAGAGAGCATGATACACTCAAGCCTTATATCTCTGTGCAGGAATGGTAAAAATAATTACAAGTCATGTCTCTTCCCTCCCCTCCTAATGCTGTTTATATATATTTAAAAAAAACCAAAAAAAAAACACTTTTTGGTTAAATCCTATCTTTTGTATCAAAGAATGGTGAGATAACTGAAGCGAAAACAAAATGTAGAACCTGTATCCTTCTCTAGCCTACGGTAGCTTACTAGATGAGGGGGGATGGGATTTTGCCGCATTGTTTATAAAAAAATAATATATATATATAGCTAGTAATTAATAGAAAAACTGGTAACTTGTAATGTTAAAGTTACTTATGCATCACTATAATGTACAGGAGCAGTATATTTCACAGTTTTTTGTATACAGCACCACTAAAATATACACAAACTTTCTTCCCCCCATATTCACTGCTATAGAAATCTCACCTTGCCCTATGGAAACAGAAGCAGCACCAAAATGTTTTAGTGGGGGATAAGCGATTGGATCAAAATCTTGAGGATTCTACCCCTTTTGTGCAATTATTATACATCATCAGTGGGCTCTTGTGTTTACAACCTTCCTGTATGTTTGACATCAGTCCAGCTCTGAATAACATATTGCTACACGACATCTCTCGCTATTATTTTACCATGTGTTCATACACACCTACATCACCCCTTAGTGACATTAGTTTGGTGGGTAGGTCTTCACTTCTCTGAGGTTTTGGACAAAGTCTCTCTGCCTACCCAAGTCCAGCAATTACCTATGGCTGTTGAATATATATATATATATATATTTTAAATTTAATCAGAAAGTAAATCTACACAAACTTAAGAGTGATCTGTAATATTTTCTACTGACAAACAGAAAAATGTAATATAGGATATCAGAGAGCCACCAAACAAGGAGAAATACAAATTGATATTCTATATTCATCTACGAAAGCAAGTAGTGACATGCTAAAGCAGTGTAATATAAATGTAAAAAAAAATAATCATATATACACACACACACACTTTATAAAACAATGTGTGTATAGAATCATGTCATGCAGCTGAGAACTAGAACACCACTCCCACTTCAAAAGCATACATGCCGATGAGTTAACTCAGTAGAATCTGTTCAATCCTTGGGTTACAGGTTCCCGGCAGGGTTAACTCAGCCCTTCATCCTTCCGCGGTAGATAAAATTAGTACCATTAGGGGCGGGGCCGGACCGCAGAGCTGAGCGGACGCAGAATAGAACTGCTCTGGCTCCTTGCGGCAAATCTTCCTGCTTAAAAGCCTGGAACGGACTACAAACCCACAAAATGGGCTACAAGCCAGGAGATGTGGGCCAGGGCTACAAGTTGGCACCAAACATGAGGCACCAACTGCAAGAAACCCAGCAACGCAGACCAAGGCCTACCAGCGTGGCAGGGGAAACGGATGCTCCCCCGCCACCCTCGATGGCTAACAGCTCGCGCATGGGCCCCGCGACTGAAGGCTACCCCGAGCAGGTTGAAGCCAGCCTCATCCCAGCCCAAATCAAAGCCTGGCACAAAAATAATGAAGAGCAATCACCCATACCCGCGCAGGACCCGACCAACGCAGAAGAGCAGATCCAGTCACTTTACAGCAGGCCTCTACAAACACAACCTGGGAAGCCTGGCATCAAGACTCTCTGGACTGGGTTATATGACGGCTGAGTTCCCGTGCAGTTTTCAGGTCTGGACAGTAACCCCAGAAGGCATAGGGTGACATGGGAGGCATTAATGGACACAAGGCTTATGATCTGCCGTCCACCACGTATACAGCCTATTAATACACAGTAAATCTGTGCTTTTATTATCTAAGTCTAGCCTGTTATGCCAAGGAAAGAATAAGCTAATACTCACCATGTCTATAGTTCTTATCAGACTATTCTGCATTTGCCCATCATTCAAACAGGATTGCTCACCCTGCTTACTATGTCATGGTTTCCTCTTTACCGTTTATCACAAAGTATTGCTTAGTGTGCTACCCACACTTAATCATCTACTATAGAGCCTGTTATCTCAGAGAGGGGAACATACTATTGTCAAATATATAAATATATATAAAAAAAAAAAAATATATATATATATAAATATACACACACACACACATAATTTTTCTTATAGTTACTCATGTTATCAAGAGCCACGTCACCATAGTTGTTTAAAGATAGTAATCTAGAGCAAGCCTCTGATACTTAACTGAGGACGTTGACTTACATACATTTAAAAATTTGTGCAGATTATATGAATGTCGCACATTTGTTTTGCTTGTACACAACTGTGCTTATTGTTGCTGTTGTGGCACTATGAGTGTATATGTATTTTGATGCACAAAAAAAAAATAAAAAAAAAAAAAGCCAAATGCGCACCCACACAAAAAAAATAAAAAAAAAATAAAAAATATATAAGTACCATTATATTGGGTAAAAGTAACAACCCCTGACTGGTAGGCTAAGACACTTGAAAACCAGATTAATCTGAATGTACCTTTCCTGATTAAATACTTTATTATTATTAATATTATTTTAGAGTATAAAGAATAGAACAAACTGAGTAGGAGTTAAACTTTACAGGATTAATTTTCCATTTAGCGGTCCTCAGCAGAATACAGGTAAGCATTCATGTGAAGATTGGCTATTGCAGGTTAGCAAGCATAACAGAATATGTACTTTAGCTTTATTAAGAAACTTTGTTACGGTCTTTGAACAATTTTGAAAATACTTTAATTCTCAAAACCAGATCATTTGATTCCAGAAAATTGTGAAAAAAAATTAAAACTGTTTCTGCCATCAGTTCTAAGATAGTAATTAAAGTACTTTTTATTTTTTTTTATTTTTAAGTCTAAATTGCTTCAGCTTCATTATTAAAAAAAAGTTATACAAATGATTCAATTTTCTATTGCTAGAAAGCACTCCATATATTTAATATAGAGTATATATAAAAAAAAAAATTCAGTTATTCACTTAAGTGTACATTGTTGGGGATAAAACGTCAATTTTAAAATTTAGACCAAAACAGCCAAAGTGAAAAACAAAGTAGACTAACTTTTTTACAATTCCACTATTGTGGCATAAAATTTGAAATTCAGTTTGGTTTAGCAAAAATGTACAATTTAGTGAACAACACTAAGCGATAACCATTTAGAATACAGTAAGAGAAGCAAAATGTGCATTGGTAGTAGGCATTTTCCAGTCTTATCCTCATGGAGGCAGGTGTTTAAACATAAACACAAAGATAATGAAGTGCTAAATTCTGGAAATGTTAGATTAGGGTTTACCAATCTCATTCCAGATTTTTATAAGGGTAAAATTTACTATTTACAGGGGGTAAACAAAAGAAGAAAGCATATTTACAAGGATTTATAAAACAAAACGTGTTTTTTCTTTCATGGAACAGCAACCCCTCTTCGATTACCCATAGTTTTGTCTCGCCGATTCTTTCGGTTCTCCTGCTGCTGCAAACGCCTGTCCTCCCTATTGAGGTAAGAGAAAGGAGAAATATTAAGTTGTCTGATTGAGGACTCTGGCAGTATTGCATTACTTTTGTTTGTGTTTTTAAAGTTACCTGGTGCGAAGGTGAGGCTGCTTGTACGTGGCTTTTAATACAGATAAATTGGCCTTTACAGTAGACTCATTCTCTTTAGGAGCCACCCATGGTTTAAGTTTACCTTCAGTAAAGAAGAGAAAAGAACTGGAATGTTAGAATACTACAAATGCATATTAAAACAAAACGTAAAGGGCACCACCTTTCAACAAAGGTCTATAGATATTGCTCATATGCTCACAATAAATTGTAATGTGTTTTCCTTGAAACGTGAACTATATATAGAAATCAAACTACAGTAGAGTTTTTTACAGCGTGCCTGTCGTGGTACACCCAACTGCACTTTGGATGAAAAATTAAACAATGGCTCAGTTTTTTTTTTTTTTTTTTTTTTAAAACAAGACAAAAATGTGGTTCTCCCATTGCCCGTCAAATTAATTCTGAGCATCAAGCAATATGCCAAGAGACAGGTTCGAGCATGAGAAAACTCATGCAGACCGTTTTCCTACTCTGTCACAACAAATACAGAACATGAACTATAGTTGCTGTGCTTTGTAGGAAAGATTTGTCAGGGTACAAAAAAAAAATTACACATACATTTTTATTTTTTTTTTTATAAAACAAAAGGAGGTGAGGGGATAGAAGAGACAAAAAACACTGTATTAAAATTACACTTGCTGGCAAATGCATTTACCTTTGTGGGGTTCATATGCAAGGGGCCGTGCTAGGCTCGCTTGAAGGTCAAACTTTGATTTCTTATTAGTATTTGGAGTCTCCACCTCCATACCGGTAAATTTGAAAGGTGTTTTTGCTAGATCAAAAGATGACAAAATTAGCACATGACAAATGCAGAAAGTCACAGTAAAACCTTTTTCCAAACCACATGGTGTGATGGTGCATTTGTGGGATCTAGGACTTAAAGAGACACTACAGTCACCAGAATAACTACAGCTTAATGTAGTTGTTCTGGTGAGTAAAATCATTATATGCAGGCATTTTCATGCAAACACTGCCTTTTCAGAGAAAAGGCAGTGTTTATATTGGCCCTAGGGACACCTCCAAGTGGCAACTCCTCAGTTGACCACTGGAGATGCTTCCTGGCTCAGTGCTGCACAGTAGGCAGCAGTGCTGTTCAGCATCTTCACGCTCTGCATGGGGATGCTCAATTTTCCTCATAGAGATGCATTGACTCAATGCATCTCTATGAGAAGGTGCTGATTGGCCAAAACTGCATTTGGCAGTGCCCCCTTGCCGATTTTAGCCAATCCAATGCGTTTCCCAATGGGAAAGCATTGGATTGGCTAAAAATCTGCAATTTTGATTATGTCACCAAAGGGGCAGGGCTAGCACGGCACGGGAAATAAGGTGAGTTTTATTAACTTTTAAGGGGACAGGCAAGCCACCTAAATGGTGGGTTTTGCACTACAGGGTCAGAAATACAGGTTTGGGTTCCTGACCCTATAGTGTTCCTTTAACCCCTTAAGGACGTTAGGCGTCCTTTGGGACCTGGCTCTAAATGCCAGGTGGCGGCATAGCACGTCCCTGCCATCCTTTCTACTTACCCGGTCGCCGGCGATCGCAGTGTGGGGACTTACCTGGGAGCCCAGGGAATCCCCCTCCTTCCTCTTTAGCCCCCCTGGGCTATGTGATCGCGAGGACCTCCCGATCACATGGACGGCATATATATGTGTGTATATATACACACATACACTGTCTAAGTGTATTTTAATTAATATATCTATCAAAATACACTTAGAATGATATTGATTAAATATATAATTATTATATAAAATATATATACATAAGTATACCTATATATAAAAATGTGTATGTATGTATATATTAATAATTTTACATATTTAGGTCATTTTATTAATTGCAATTTGCAGGACCTGCCTGACAACCTAGGCCAAAAGTCCAGGGAATTTAATTTGCTAGCACTATATTTAACCCTGTAACTTTCCAAGACACCATAAAACCCGTACATGAGGGGTACTGTTTTACTCAGAAGACTTCGCTGAACACAAATATTAGTGTTTCAAAACAGTAAAATGTATTATAACGATATTGTCAGTGAAAGTGCATTTTTGCACACACAAATATGAACACTAACTTTTGTGACAAAAGTGGCTACTAAAAAAAGACTGGATATACCCCATTTGCAATACCTTGGGTTGTCTACTTTTGCAAATGGTATGCCATCATGGGGGTAATTCTCATTCCTGGGCTACCATACGGTCTCAAAGGCAACTTAACAAATCTGTCAAATTTCAATGTGAAAAACTGAAAAATGTAACATGCTATATTTGACCCTGTAACTTCTCACAACACAATAAAACCTGTACATAGGGGGTACTGTTTTACACGAGACATTACAGAATACAAACGTGTATTTTATTGCAGTAAAAGCAAACAGTATTATGACATTCACGTTTAGAATGTTACGTAGAACTTTTTTTTTTAATTCTTATTTTCTCCCACTTGATATTTTATTCATATTAAATGGTTTCATACCTAAATATTTGATGTTAAATGAAAGCCCTGTTTCCCCTGAATAAAATGATATATAATAAGTGTGGGTGCACATAATATGAAAGAGGCAAATTACGCCTGAACAGACATATAGCGCAAATTCAAGTTTTTGTTTGTTTTGATCACAACGTGTACATTTGGCTCAGTACCTAATCATTTTAAAACTCAAAGACAAACATAGCATATCAAGGTCCTTTTGAAGTATGGTTTTAACATTGGTACAGTTCCAGTCCAAGCACCATTATTACTATAGCTTATTATTGCTGTTGTGATGCAAAGTCTTTAACTATAAAGAAAAAAAATACAATATTTTCCAATAAAATAAAACATTAAGTGGCAGTCTAGGCACCATAACAACTAGTGCCTACACCTTTGTATCGCGCTATAGTGTTCCTTTATTGCAGTTTCCCCATCTGTATTAGGGAGATCAATACTGCCTGTGTTTGGCAGGAGTTTCATTGGCTGAGAGCAGTAGCTGATGCTCTCAGCCAATTCACTTCATCCTCATATGGACAAAATCGACAGAACGTCAGTGGAAATTCTACTTTAGAAAGACTAGAGATGGAGGTTGGTATTAAACCATCAATAAGAAGTTCAACGATTTCCTGTAGGAGCACCAAGGGACCTCTGATGCTATAACCACTATATTGAGCTGGATACTTATGGTGCTTCGACTGCTGTCTTAAATATGAACATCTGGTGTTCTAATCTTTCTAAAATCATTTGAGCTTGGCAAAAATCGATCGATCACAAGCTGTGGCTGATGCAGAAGAACATTAAGGAATAATACATTATTCATAGTTTAAAATAAGCAAATAAACTGAAATACCTGGCTCATTATTTGGACCATCGGTGTCAATAGGAAAGCTCTTCCAAGTTAGTGGAACGCTTTTTCTAGATTCACTTCTAGTGACGGCCACAATGCCAGAAGATTTCCTTGCGGGTGTTTTAGTCAAAGAATGCTTGTGCTCATTGTCTTTTGTTGCCATGGAAAACCTAATCCAAAGTGATACAAATGATTAACTTCAGTCACACCAAAGAATATATTGAGCACACTATACCATAAATCTAATCAGAGAATGGATTAAACGGAAACCACCACTTTTTTTTGGAAGTTAGAAATTACACCAGTCGATAAAAACCTGAAAAAAAAATCACTAAACCTTTTATTATGTGACATTCCAATATTTAGTTTGCATACAGCTCTTTTGGAATTGCTGTTCAGCAAGGTGGCTCGATTTTGGTGATTGTTATAAACATGTGTAAGGATTAACCACACAGTGGATGCTGAAGATTGCTTTTGGTGTAAATTAATTTAACTACAGCTTGTATAACGAATGTAACAATATCACAATTTCTGCTGCAATTTCAACATACCGGACGTTCATTTTTGACGATGAAAACACAGATGGCTTGAACACAGTCTTGTCCAGTAAGATACTTTTATTGGCGATACTGCAGCGTGCAGATCGGCCCTGGCTTGTTGGGGTTTTAGCGGAGGAAATATTACTCTTCCGAGTTGCAGGGCTCAATAAAGAAAGCCTTCCCTTTAACTGCTTCTAAAAAAAATAATAATAATAAAAAAAAATTATATATATATATATATATATATATATATATATATATATATATATATATATATATATATATATATATATATATATATATATACACACACACACACACATACATATATATATATATACACACACACACACAATCAATTATTGTGCAGATGGGATGAGAAACCATTGTTATACGGTACAAACGTAAGTGCCAATGTAATACTGATAGTTAATTCCGAAATACCAAATTAAACAGATTGACAAAAGTAGCTAAATAAAAAAAAAATAAAAAAAAAATCATCAGCTCCACTATAGAGATTGCTTGGAAATATTAATTTAGATTTAGGCTTTTAATTTACAGCAGAGTTTAGTAAATAACCATGTGAAAAGTGCACACTAGGGGCAGACTAGATGGGCCGAATGGCTCTTATCTGCCGTCACATTCTACGTTTCTATGTTTACATGTTGATGTGCATTATGGGCTGAAGAGTCAATTTATTTCAGACTTAAATGCATTTGTTCTGCTAAATATATTAACCATCACTGGAGGGACAGAAAAGTTCAGCAGCCATTAGATGCTCACCGCGTTGAGTATTAATAGGTATAAAACCGCTGTATAATAATTATAGCATGCTCATATTTTGACCCCCCTCCATAGTTTGTTTCATTGATTTATTTTCTATGGCAACTAGCTAGCAAGCAGTGGCTAATACCGTGAAGCTTAACCCTTGAACTGCCAAGTATTTTGTTAAATATTTGCCCACTGGCTGCTAGTGCTGACAGAGTTTAAATAGTTCAGACTTATAAAATCTGGGCCTGCTTTTTATTTAACGTTTGGATCCAGTTTTTACCAAGAGACCCTTGTGCAAAATCCACACATTGCTAAATCTTCTGAAGAGTGGATTACGCAGCCTGAGTGGTTCTGTGTCAAAGCATATTGTTTTGCCGCATTCAGTATAGGGTCATTTGGAGTATAGTAAATAAACTTGTTTCAAACTATAGCCTGCATGTGAAGGATTCAGAGAACAACTCAATTCATTATCCTTTTCTGGGAGAACTCACCTTGGAATTGTTGTTTGGTGTCTTCTCACTTACAGGAATGTTTGATTTTTTTGCCAGCATCTGTAAAGAATACTAAATTGTAAAAAAATAATTTAAAACAAAAGTATTAAGACACGCTTTAGGTTCCTAGGAGGGCCTCTATCAAATTGAATTGAAAAATTACTCTCTGAATAGCATGAGGATAAGAGGTAACGATTGGGAAATCTGAACGCGGAAAATCTGATTATAACCCAAGCTACTTTACCCTCACAAATCTACTTACAAAATTCTACCACATATGTCCTATGCGGCAAGTGTTACAGGTCAGTGGCTTTAAAACAGCACGCCGGCTATGTGAGTCAGGCACTTAGATTCAAGTTGATTTATAGCAATTCATCCATATTGTTGGGGCAGCGTTCACAAAAAGGAACAATTTCTTCTTTTTCCCTAAGGATTTTGGTTACATAAAATATCAATTTACTCTATTGAAGTTGATTAAAAAGCAAACGTGCCAGTGACTGCAGCCTCCTCCATTTCTTTCCGACAGGCTTACTTTTTAATATGGAACACTTTGTTGAAGGAATCAATTTACACTAACAATAGAGAACATCTATGTATAAATGCACAGTGTAAAGGAAAAACTTAAAATCAACTGCCTCTAATATCCATAAAATGTTACATAGGATACATATTGGAGTTTATTACTAAAGTGTGAGTTGTCGCTAATTTAAAGTGCATTTCACATTTCAGGCTACAATAGCCTAACTGAAAATATTCCAAGTATGGTATGTTTTCTTTTTGGCTTCTTTAGCCTAAAATGGTTAATTCACTTTAAATTTCCAACAATCTTAACTTTAGACAATAACCCAAAAATCGTGCATCTGCAGTGATCTATGCCAATTTATTGTAAAGAGCTGCAGAATAAGCTGGCGCTATATAAATACCAATAATAATTATAATAATAATTTACCTTAACCTCTTGAATGGAACTGCTCACTGCATCGAGCCGCTTCTTCTTCCTCTCCATGTATTTATCAATGGATTCCATTTTTTTAAAATGTGCTTCATGCAGCCTTTTGAAATCTGTAAAAAGTCATAATATTTAAAGCTGGCTGAAAAAGACAACATTGCTTTCAATAATTTCAAAGAGTAACATTGACATACTTGGTGTAGAGGGCTTTGAGCTGGGTTTAGGCAAACGACCTGCGTATCTTGGAATCTTCCCACCAGGTGGTGCACAAGTGTCTGCTGTGGAAGACAGGATCAAAAGTGTAAACAAACACTAAAGGAGGCATGAATTGCTTGTGTTGTCAATGCCTTCCTGAGGACAACTGAATGTTTACATAGGAGTAGTGAAAATTTCTTAGAAAGCTTTTTTCCCAACAGACAATGAAACTATAGGGCAAGTACATTTTTGAATGGGTTATTCATTAAAATGTGAACTGTTGGCAATTTGAAGTGAACTGAAAATTAGCAACGTGGTACAGAAACTTTGGGATGCAGACATCCCACTTTATTGTTGGACAGCTGACCATTAAAAAGGCTTGTAATTTATACGCCCTGAGCTATAGACTCTAATGTTTCTTATCCAGTTATTTCGGTTTAGTAGTGCATGAAGGTATATTGATATAGTAAGTCTGAGTGTAATCCCTTATAGCAACACTTCAAACACAATGCAATTAATGATCGTCCAACACAGATGACTTCTGAATGTTAACCAGGCACTTTTACTTTATAGACTTACATTTTGTTTGTTGATCTTTAATGTTTCCTACAGTTTCCAAAGAAGTCTGCTCACTTGCCTCTTCCACAAAAGGTCGCTTTCTTTTCTTGCTTTCAGAATCAGACGGTATCTCAGAGTTGGAGTCATCACTTTGTTCTTTATCCATTTTACTAAGACCTTCTACCTGATGATTTAGAAGATGGAAATAGCTTTAAAACATATGCCCTTTATTCTTAGATACATTACTACCACTGGGAAGGACCCCCCCCCCACATGAATCTTTTAAATCCTAAAAACCCACAGGCGAAGGAGTGAATTTGAGATAAAAAGCTGCCTTGAGTGAGACTGGCCAGCATAATTGGCAGTTATAAATGATTTGATATACAATTTTCTTTTATCAGGCAACACCAGTTATACAAGCACCCTATTGCCTACTTGGTTGCCATACCATCAAATGTTATGGGATATGACCAAGTGATAGCTAGTCAGTGACAGTGGTAGAAAAGTTTTTTCACTGCAGTAATAATTTTGCTATGAAATCACGAATAGCATTCTTGACAAAAGAATGGGTGATTACTCATAGCAGAGATGGGTACCTCCAATTGCAACTCCTTCGTTCCCAAAGTATTGTCATTCACTTCCAGTGTAGGAGAGCTGTATCTTTTGCGCCTGCCACGTCTGTGTGTAACATGTGATACAGGCACAGTCTCTTCCTTATCATCAGTGCCATTTAATTCAGCCATATCTTTAGCAGAATCACTACTGTCTGAATCCTGTAATGAGAGAGTCCATTTAAGTAGAAATACTGGTCAGACAGGAGCATATGTCATGCCATCTGGAATGTACTTCCAGACACAAAGAGCAAGACTTTGTTAGTACAGAAACAAAAATGTACGGAAGGGAGGGCATGCAAGCCAGAATTCAGGCATCAAACAGTAAATGTTATTGTAAACGGTAGTGGTTATGTTGCTAAAAAGCACTTGTCCTGGGTCAAACCATTTTAGCAATTTGAACGAAAAATGATAAATGATGCCATGTACAAACCTAATTTAATACAAATTGAAAATGCTAACAATTATGGCAAAAGAACAAAATGCTCAAACAGGCGCACACTTACAGTGCTAACATTCACAGTTTTTGTCTCCGGATGGAAGTGCTCTTTCAAACTTCTGAGCAATTTATCTGCCTGTAAAGAAGGGGGAAGGAAAGATTTAGTATCTCAAACACAATACAGTCTTTTGCAAGTCAGAATCTCTTGTCTTACCATTGCTCTAAATAAAAGCTGTCAAATTCCTATGACACCAGCAATACTTCTGGCCACGTTGTCTCAATCTCTATAATCATCAGTTCTCACATATAATAGTCACAGGCCATGATCAAAGACACTTTGGCAGTTGATGGAATGCGAATATATATTTTTTTGTGTTCTTAGTCAGCCACACAATAACAAATATTGGTATAGGGTTTATCAGGATGCTAATAACATATGCTGCAGTGTGTGGCTATTTTAGGATCCATATTACATGTGTTCTCCATAGACTGTCCCTAGGCATGCTTCTGCTTTGTTGATAAACATATGTACAATGTTTCAAACCTTCATACTTTTATATAGAGCTTAGATTTGCTGTTTAGAGAAAAAATAAATAAACAACAGATGTGTAGTGAGCAGCCCCTTCCAAAAATGTTCATGTCAGGCCCATCAAACCCTGCATTCACAGAGCTCCCCCCCTCCATCAAACCCTGCATTCACAGAGCTCCCCCCCTCCATCAAACCCTGCATTCACAGAGCTCCCCTCCTCCATCAAACCCTGCATTCACAGAGCTCCCCTCCTCCATCAAACCCTGCATTCACAGAGCTCCCTCCTCCATCAAACCCTGCATTCACAGAGCTCCCTCCTCCATCAAACCCTGCATTCAGAGCTCCCTCCTCCATCAAACCCTGCATTCACAGAGCTCCCTCCTCCATCAAACCCTGCATTCACAGAGCTCCCTCCTCCATCAAACCCTGCATTCACAGAGCTCCCGGGTCCATCAAACCCTGCATTCACAGAGCTCCCCCTCCATCAAACCCTGCATTCACAGAGCTCCCCCTCCATCAAACCCTGCATCCACAGAGCTCCCTCCTCCATCAAACCCTGCATTCACAGAGCTCCCAGGTCCATCAAACCCTGCATTCACAGAGCTCCCCCTCCATCAAACCCTGCATTCACAGAACTCCCGGGTCCATCAAACCCTGCATTCACAGAGCTCCCGGGTCCATCAAACCCTGCATTCACAGAGCTCCCCAGGTCCATCATCCACTGATTCACCAGGCTCCCCCTCCATCAAACCCTGCATTCACAGAGCTCCCCCCTCCATCAAACCCTGCATTCACAGAGCTCCCCCCTCCATCAAACCCTGCATTCACAGAGCTCCCCCCTCCATCAAACCCTGCATTCACAGAGCTCCCTCCTCCATCAAACCCTGCATTCACAGAGCTCCCCCCTGTCTCACCCTCAGGTTGGCTTTCAGCCCGTTGGTCTTGGCCAGTTTCTGCAGCATCGAGTACCGCATGGAGTCCAACTCCTGTACAGTGGGTCCCTCCATGACCGAGCTGTGTGTAACCCGTGTGTCAGTACGATAATCCGATCCCGCTGTCTCCCAACACTCACTCACACAAACCGCTGTTTGAATTGGCGCGCGCACAACTACGTCACCAACGGCTCGGATTCAAAACATCCTGCTGTCTGCAAGCAATGCTGAGTGGTGGTGCTCGCGCATTCCGCGGGCACGAGGCTCTCCCTTGTAACCCTGGGAGGGAGGGAAGGGGAGTGTGGGCAGTGCCCTCTGCCTCCATTTGCTCTACTTGCTATGCCAGTCTGGCACAGGTTTCAATGGCAATAAAATGGAGTGCATTTGGATGCATGAACTCAGACAGTAATTCCCATCTAAATTAAAAAGGATGCTCTTTGGACAAAAACAGCTTTACTGTTTACTCCAATCCTTTTTTTTAAAGTTTTCTAATTTTATTGTAATCAGATAAAATAAAGATTACAACTAACTAAGGAGGGGATTTAACAATAAGAAAGTGTGCTTCTTGCAGGCACTGTGTACAAGGGAAGGAGCTTAGTATATCTGTCGCCAGAGCCAGTGCAAGCCAACAATGGTCGTACTTTTTGCACAGGACTCACGTTAGTCAATCTGGAACAGGCTAAGTCATGTGTGCCATAGATGTAACTACACCTAGGTACACAATCACAGATTTCCCTGTATAGGCAGAGCTAAAACGCTGCACATACAGATTGCTTGCACCATAACCACTTCTAAAAGCAGAAATGGTCGTTGTGGTTGGCGTAACCCTTTAATGAAGCAAACTTGGTGTTTCGATCATGCCCCCTGCAGTCTCTCTGCTTAATTCTCTGCCATTGAAGAGATAAATCATTTTGTATATGAAGCTCCAGCCACATCTCCCCTGACTCATACAGCCTCCATGAAAAAATTGGTTTAATTTTCAATCAGATCTTACAGTACAGTGTGTTTACTTCAGAAGTCCTTATCTTTCAATTCACTGCGTCTGCAGAGCTAGCATCTGTAGCCACATTGCAAGACTCCGCCAGGCAGTGAGAAAACACTACAATGAAACATTTGAAAATATTAGAATCGCAAACACATTTCACTATACTTTTAGAAACATTATGAACAGATTTAAATTTCAAGACACTTTGCTTCATTTTTTCTTTTTTTTCACTGACAGATTTTAAAATACCTTCATAAATTTTGAAGCACATTTTGAAGTGAGGTGAGAGGGCAGCTGGTCTCAGCTAGCAGATGATGACTCCTCAAGTACAAATGGAACTAACCAGGGCCAGCTACAAGCGTAATATTATTCCCAGGAGGTAATAAAAATAATATCTGTATATTCTTCATATATAGTATTGCAGAAATGTGTTCTCTACTCTTTCCTCGTTCCCCTACCCTGTACCCTTTCCCTCTCTTCTTGTCCCCACTTAGCTTCAATAACAATTTCCAACTAGTAATGAGAAGAACATTCAGTCAATTAAAACAGCAACGCGAGATTATCCCTCCAGAGCGGCATATCCATCGTCACCTTGTAGGGATGGAGAGGTACTGGACCCATCCCGAGATAGCAATTTTACTTAGAGCTAGTTTAAATGACCACTCTAGGTACCCAGACCACTTCAGCTTAATGAAGTGGTCTGGGTGCCAGGTCCCTCTAGGATTAACCCCTTTTTAAAAAAACAAGTGGAGGAGAAGAGGAGAGGAGGAGGAGAGCTCCCCGCCCGGCGCTGGAATAAAGGTAAGATTTAACCCTTTCCTCTCCCCAGAGCTGGGCGGGAGGGGGTCCCTGAGGGTGGGGGCACCCTCAGGGCACTATAGTGCCAGGAAAACGAGTATGTTTTCCTGGAACTATAGTGGTCCTTTAAGCTCCATAACATGTGAGTGCTACCTCATATACTACTGTTGTGAGTCCTAATTTTCTGCCAAAACAGTCTGCACTATTGTTTGTCATTTGTGCTTCCCTACATATATTTACAAGCACCTTAACCAAGAACCAACATTCCACAAGAACACAGAAACAGCTGGGATCGCGATATTTGGACTGTAAATATTTGTTTTTTTCATATTATTATATTATTCTATCTTTTTACACCTTTTGCGCTACCTGTTTTTTATATTTTATGCTGTCTATTTTTAGGGTTTGAGGGCATCTTCTTTACCCAGTGTTTGCTGCCGAAGTTTAGTCAGTTGTTTCCTTAACGCTTATCCATTTTGGTGTTTTCTATCCTGAGGTAGGACTTTGCCACTGCTCAAAAAGGTGTCAGCTTCAATTACCCCATCCAACCCAACAGCCAAGCCTAAAGAGTATTGAACAGACTCAAAGAGAGAGTGAAAATGAATAAAAGGAAAAAAAAAGAGAGAAGGAGAAAAAAAAAAAAGGTGGGGGTCAACAGTGCACTCTTGGAATTACCATCAGAGGTGGGCGCACCCTCCAGTGTATCTCTGTCTACTGGACCCTATATATCACAATGTTAGCAGTGCCATTTACAGCTCATATCCTAATATGGAGGTGCCACCTGAGACCCCTCCCTCAACCCCCCATACTTCCCCCCCATTTAACGCTCCTGCAAACTTTGGTCTGTCAATAAGGACATGTATGATAACCAAAGTCTCCAGATTTCTAAAAACTTTCCAGTCCTGTCATGCAATGCCGCAGTTTGTTCCTCCATGGATCTAATTTCCTCAACCTTTTCTACCCAGCTCTTGAACGTCGTGGAGAAAAAAACAATACTTTTACATTGTGGGAGACTATCATGCATGTGCACATATGTAGGCATGTATGTAAGTGTATTATATTATATATATATATATATATATATATATATATATATATATATATATATATATATATACCTATAAGCAGACTATTTAAAATTATAAAATGACTATTACACACATTAATTAATATATATGTATAATTAAAGGAACTGAAGGGTGTATTGAGAAACCTGGCCTGGGGGCAACAATGAGGGTAAACCCTTCCTATAGTGCTTTATTTTTTTATATATATATATATATTTTACATTAAAGAGAAAGGAGTGTGTCTGTGCTCTAAGTGGGTTATATTCTTTGTAAATGTTTATGCTGGTAAATAATAAAGGATCATCTTACTGTAAATACATAAAAAGTAAATATGATCAATATAATGTATTAATTGTTGTTAATCCTATATAGTTTATTACAGGGTTTCTATTGCTCAGAGCTCTGGGCTGGATTCCAATCCTGTGTTCGGCGCTCTGCTCTCTCAGTCTGCGGATCGGCCGTTGATTGCTCGGTCTGAGCTCGTCACACAGCGCGAGCGGCAAACTTCGAACTGAGAGAAGTGGGCGGGGCTGCGGGGCCCTAACAGCTGCGGTAAGCAGGGGCCACAGGGTGCATACTGTGTGTGTTAGCGGGGGCCACAGGGCGCATACTGTGTGTGTTAGCAGGGGGCCACAGGGCGCATACTGTGTGTGTTAGCGGGGGCCACAGGGCGCATACTGTGTGTGTTAGCGGGGGCCACAGGGCGCATACTGTGTGTGTTAGCGGGGGCCACAGGGCGCATACTGTGTGTGTACTGTGTGTTAGCGGGGGCCACAGGGCGCATACTGTGTGTGTTAGCGGGGGCCACAGGGCATACTGTGTGTTAGCGGGGGCCACAGGGCGCATACTGTGTGTTAGCGGGGGCCACAGGGCGCATACTGTGTGTGTTAGCGGGGGCCACAGGGCGCATACTGTGTGTGTTAGCGGGGGCCACAGGGAGCGTACTGTGTGTTAGCAGGGGCCACAGGGCGCATAGTGTGTGTTAGCAGGGGCCACAGGGTGCATTCTGTGTGTGTTAGCGGGGGCCACAGGGCGCATACTGTGTGTGTTAGCGGGGGCCACAGGGCGCATACTGTGTGTGTTAGCGGGGGCCACAGGGCGCATACTGTGTGTGTTAGCGGGGGCCACAGGGCGCATAGTGTGTGTGTTAGCGGGGGCCACAGGGCGCATAGTGTGTGTGTTAGCGGGGGCCACAGGGCGCATACTGTGTGTGTTAGCGGGGGCCACAGGGCTCATACTGCGTGTGTTAGCGGGGGCCACAGGGCGCATACTGTGTGTGTTAGCGGGGGCCACAGG